TTTTTTTTTTCTATATAAATTTGCTCCTAATTAACCTCTACGGTACTTTCGCGAATTACTTAATGCACTCCTCTCTCATTCTGGCAGTGCAAAAGGTTGTCAAGTTTAGGAGAAGACTGATAGCACGCGCAAAATATTATCTCCTTGTCAGTCTTAGACTTCTCTCCCTTCGTCCATTCCATTGTCGTCGTCCGTCTAGGTCAATCGCTCGTCCTCCTCCACCACGCCACCCGCGCCCAGTCGTCAGCGTCATCCGCTAGACCGTTGCTGCACCACCACCACTCTTCCTCTCTTTAGTTTGACTCCTACGCTCCGCTCTCGGTTGCTCCAAAACCAACGGAGCTTAGCGTCATCTGGCGGTGTTTCGATTCGTACTTCGTACTATCATACTATATATCGTCTTCAGGACCCTGTGTTACGTGACTTACGTGAGCGCTTTTGTATGTGTATATACATACATACAATTCAGAATGTTATGCTCGATGCTCGCAGTGCTCGCATGGTTGGTTAATCGATTTGTTGCCGCGAGCAAACTCAAGTTGCATTAGTTGTATCCGTGTAATTCTGACTTATCGAGCAGTAAACTCAAAAATACTTGCATGATTTAAAACACAGTACTTCAAATTTGACTAAATTCACAGCAAGGTACGAAAAAATTTTCAATAAAAAATTTCTCTAGGATAATTTTCTACTGAAATACTTATCAATAATACCTTGGATACAAAAATATACTGATTGTGATTCCTTTGTTGAAAAAATATGTATAACGTCACGTGGAAAACGATTCACACGTAAATAAACTTGGACTACATGCATATTTGAGTCAAAAAAATAGTAGTTGAAATATTTGAAAAAACTTTGAGAAACTGTAATTGATTTCAACGAAAGGTCTATTTTTATGCATTAAACTAAAGAATAAGTCGATTAACAGATCTTACCACTCCTATCCTTAGAATCACAGCCATTAGCAAGACGTAAGCGATCATCTTGCCGGTTGTAAGAAGTATTTACATCCAGTAGCTCAGCATTTTTGTTTGACCAACGATTCTTTGAATTCTTTTGATGTTGCAAGGGTGATGATCTGACATTGCTCAAAGGTATTGTACTTTCAGATCTATTTGATGAACCTGAAATAAATTGTATACTGTAGATGATGCGCTGTCACAAAAAAGCAATAAACTATACATGTTAATCTTAGGAAAAATTCTAATGTATTAGTAATTAAATTAAAAAAAAAAAGAAAAAAAAAACATGTGTATTTAATGCACATGAATTGTCAATAAACTAAAATTGAAATTGTAAAAAAATTGATAGATTTGAATTGATAAAATAATGAATCAAACTTTCACCAAAAAAACAATTACAAGTCCCTGACGTAAATTTGGAAGATAACGATAGACGAAATCAGCTGATTTTTTGACAACAACAACATAAGCGCCAGACCAAATAAGGATAGTGTAATGTTTTGGTTCTCTTGGCTCAGCTGCAGCGCATTAGTGCGACAGAGACAAAAGCGACTTAAGGATCAAGGAGGAGAGAGCAACAACAGACGTGCTTCGCGACAATTAAAAAAAACAACATGCAATGTAATTAACAACAACGCGAAGAAGGTACGGTAAACGAGAGGTACGAGTTGCACATGTTAGTGCAGAGCAAGTGAATACGAAAAAGGAAAAGAGCGGCAGGCAACAACCAGGTACCCATTCTTCCATTCTATCGCTCCGTTTGTTGCACTCACCTGATGTCATCTCCTGGGACGTCATCTGCATGATCAGCGCGAGCTGTTGACGTTCAGAGACCCGCGCTGAGTAATTACGGAAACGACTGTTACCGCCCGCGGGCATTCCGTCCTCATAACTCATGCAAGCACACACGACACAACACACGGCTCTGTTCTCTCGACTGCAGAAACTGCTTTTTCTCTTTATAATCTATCGAGGCAATCCTTGGTTACCCGGGCTACTGCGAGCCTCGTTACTCGACATCGAGAGATTCTGTTACATTGATGCATGGGTTGGGTTGTGTTGTATCTCCAGAAGAAGATCCGCTCTTCGCTGTGGGACAGAGAGATTATAACCTTAAAGAGCGGGAATCGCCATTTTGAGAGCGAAATTTCTGGTGGTGGTGGTGGTGGTGGCACGATGCAGATTGGAGGTGGTGGAGAGAGAAGATAAAAAGAGGCGACAGCACACGCGTGAAGACACAAAAAACACAAATATTATGAACACGGCAGAAGAACGCACGGACCCGTCTGCGACGTCTGAAAACCTGGACTCGGTGCAGGTCTGGGCTGGGCTGGGCCAGTAACACCTATAGGACGGATGCGCGAAATTCTCATGGGTATATACATAGGTGTAAGAAAGAGACACCCGAACTCCCAAGCAGAAAACAGAACAGAGAGAGATAGAGGAACGCTGTCTATATATATACACACATATATATATAAGTATCCTGTACCCGGTGGCCCCGGTGCGCGCAATATGACGCAACAGCCAATCTCTGGCCTTCCCGCGAATCCCGCGATTCGTCTGCACCCGCTTCAAAAAATTAATACTCTATAAGTAAGTACCAAGTACTATACTTATCATTTTCATCTTTTAATAAGGCAAAATATATCAGTAAGTACTGTGGTTCATCTAATAAATGAAACATAATCCGTAAAAGAAAGATATGGTATAAAAAAAAGTAATATTTTTTACTAAAACTCCAAATTCCACCTGCACCCGTTGGGTCATTGAAACCTTTATTGCAATTTTTTTCTTGTGATTCGTATTTATTTAATTTATTCGTCTATATTATTTTAAGAAAAATTATTGGTACATCATAGTTTTCGCGATGTATACTGCAGAGAGATCAGCTTGTTTTTATCTTTCACGGAAATGAAATTAAACAAAACGACGTGATAATGAAATCGTAGTTTGTCACAAAACGGAAAATAAGAAATCGTATTGGGTTATTGTACGAACATTTAGCTCTATATAATAGAATGTAGTGAGGTAAATCTTCGGAGTAAATAATAATGGGCCATTATTTTTTTTCAATTTTTGTTTTTTTTTGTTTTTTTTTTTGTTTTTATTGTATTCAATGAAATACTAGGGCAGTCGTTTTACACGTATGCTCATCAGTTATTACACGCTGCTCATCATCAGTCGGCGATTGTACACTTATTAACTATCATTTAATTGAATTCATTCTTGTTTTTTTTTTCCCCATCATGTAATTCAATTCATTTTGCTGTTTATTTCTTTCATTCCACGCATTACGTAATTAATTACGTTTGTCAATAATTAATCGCAAAAGTGCTTGAGACCCATACGAATGACGTAAGACGAAATCGTATATATCCGGGGATCCCCTTGCCCTTTTCATTTACCCTATCATATCTTTTAAATTATTTATTATTTCTTTCTCCCACTATCTAACTAAGGGTTTGTATATAAGAAGGCTCAGAAAGTCTAGGGTCGTGGTTGTAGAGATGATGTAATATTATGGACTAGATTTTCTCAAATCATTCACTGCTTCCATTCGTCATAGCATATATTATGCAGTACGCTTATAATATATAGGTACGTCTACGACAAACAAGTAACGATTGCGTTATTGTACATGTGTGTACACGGAGCTCTGAAGATAATAATATTAATGTTATTACAGATAGTGCGGCGCAGATTTGATCTATCGGAGACAAATGAATAAATCGATCGGTTAATGTTTACTGTGAGTTTTGTTGTACCGCAAGGTAAGTGAAAAAAAAAGAAAAAGAAACGAGAGATGTACAAATAATACGTGCTGACTCGCTCTATTTTTTTGTTTTAACATAGGTATTCTTTTTTTTCCTCCTTGTGTTCCTAATATCTAAATCAACACATCACCTCGTTTATTTATTATAATTATGTATGCTGAGACAAAAATTGCCTTCGATTTTTTTTTTTTTTTTTTTACTTTCCGACAGTCTGACAGAGGTTTTATTATTTTCTAGATATAATAGAAAAGAGGGGAGGAGAGAGATGGAGAGCCACAAACGATGACTCTTTCAAGTATAGATTCAGTTCAGATGAGCATTTTATTATTTTATAACAGTAGTATTATTTCATAAAGTACGACAAGACGCTCCTTCGAGCGGAATTGATTAAAACTTTTTTTTTTTTTTTTTAATTTTTATGTTGGTCGGCATTAAAACACACAATGTTTAATAATTCGTTACATTCTTCTTCAATTCGAACATTTCGACTTCCAACTTTTGAGGTTCTTATGTGTTATAAAAAATCTCAAGTTATCTTAATTAATTTTATTTTTTGACAACATTTAACAATAAACAGATTATACATCACGAAATGAGGGTAATCCATTTGTTATAAAACATTATCAAGTGTTTTTATCAATTATCATACAAGTTGAGGGTTTTTATAATATATAAGACTCCTCAAATCTACTCCAAACTATTCTCTTCGTCTTTCGATCTTTTACTATTCACAGCGTTAATAACTATTTAACTAACTAATCATACATTTTCTTTTCTCCATCAGATAGGACTATTGTCTAATAATTTTGCTAAACTACCGGTATAAACGTTGCTTTTTTTGTCTTTTCATTACAATGAAGGTAATGTTTAGGTAATGCAACAACGATGGTTCAATAATATGCACAGTAATGTGAGGGATGGAAAGGGGTCTAGGTATTGTGATTCTTCGTCACAATCGCGCAAGCTGCTTTATGGAATGACCAGCTACATACAGTGTTATTATTATTACTTTTTTTTTCTAAAATACTTTGTAGGTGCATGTGAATTATTGTTGTTATTATTATTATTATAATGTATTGTTCCAGTTTCAGATTTTTGTTTCACTTGACAATTATAATGCAGTCGATTATATATAATTATCATCATAATTAACATTAATGATTTCACTTTCATTTTTGCTCAATAAATATTAAAATAATGTTTTTTTTTTTTTCTTTTTTTTTCATATCAGTTACGAAAAAAATATACATACTTTAAAAATTTACGAGTTTAAATTTACAATAAAGCTTATCGTTGACCTAAATATATAAATTGATGTATACCTAAATATATGTCCTGTATATAAATTTAAAAAAATCATCGATACTTTTTTCTCATTTTAAAACTTACGTAGCTGGCTCTTGCATGCGGCAGTTTCCATTTCTTTTTCAACGTATGTATACGACATACGTACCCCGATTTCTACAATACGTGTGTATATGCTATTTAATCAAGTACGGAATTGTAATTGCAGCGACCCAAACGAATTTTTTTCATGTTGAGTTTAAATTGGTATAGCTATGTTCTTTTTGTACTTGGGCTTATTATATTTACGAGATTTATTTTGATTTTGAATACGTACATTGAATATAAAAAAATTTATTTATAAATTCAAGACACCGCCGTCAGAAAATTCACCGACTAGAATCGAAAATTCGTTTTATCGATTTTACTTTGATTGGCAAACCGAAAAATTTGAATTTTACTCTTTGATTGGACAAATTTTACTTTTTTGTTAATCAAACCATAAATACGTTAAAATATTTTATTTTTTCACTCATACACATTCTTCACTTAAAAGGACTAAATTATACAATTACAAGATTAGGTAGAATCTAATTGTCCTGATTAGCTTTGCGTAATACAGAATTATTCGATTTTTCATTACTTTAAATGATTATTAAATTTCATCCGATCGCATCGACTTTGGCATTATAATATATATAATATAGCCCAGTGTGCTTTTACCAGTCTTGTTCTTTCTTGGTGCCTACAAGTATATATTATTTATTATATTTTGTAACTGTATTGATCAACCCTGTGTTAAGTTTGAATTTTTTTAATCAATTGTACGAATTTATCTACCCGAAGCGAAAATGTAACCAAAAGTTAAGAGCGACAATTGAAGGAATTAACACATAAATATGGCACACGTGAATTTGGCGTGAGCTTATTGCACATTTTCGTGACCACTTTGTAAAATTTAAAGTGGGAAGACTTGTAGAGCCTCATCCGTACAACAATATACTGTTCAACGTTCGTGAAGAGGAATAAAGACACCAAGGATTTTTTTTTTATTTTTCATTTAAACGATTAACACATAAATGCGTCCATGCATACACATAAAAGCTCTTTGCGCATACAAACTTTATACTTGAGATTTGAGCGAAAAAACGCATGATTCGTACTCTATAAAAACTCGAATGATTTACGATTTCATGGCAAACTTGCAATATGCACGAAAGCACATATTTATGCAACAACATGCTCTTTTATCCCTTTGCAAATCATATACTAATGTTAATTGGTTAATCTTTGCGTTTACCATCAAATAAAAAACGTTTCCACAGTTGATTTTTTAGAGATGCCCTGCAGATCTACCGTGATGTGTTGACCAGCCCGTGCTGCTGTCCGAGAAAATCCAGAGAATCTTAAAGTAATATTACTTGTTTTCCTTATCTACACAAATAAGTTGTAGTCCAGCCTTTTTCTAAGGGAGCCATTTATAAACAACAGTCTGCAACGTTTCATCTTGCTTGGGATCTGTTAAAATGAGCGCACTCGCCGTAATTAAAATTACATTTTGTAACAGTATCATTGAGAATAAAAACTGAACAAATAGATATGTGAATGCAAGAGAAAAAAAAATTACTTTATTTTTATTTTATTGTTAATTCATGAAATTCGGGAACTTAATATTTTTACGCATTAATAAAATCAAGTCTTAACAACTTTTCGACATTAAGCATTACTTATCAATGAAATGTCAAAAAAACATGGTCTCATTAATAAGTAGTAACTTGTGCGTTCAATTAATAATGTAAGAATATGCACGGTTCATCGTTGCATAATACAATTGGAAAAACAGTATACATATTATATAAAAAAAAAAAAATATATCTTGTCAATTTGAAACATTATCATATAAATAAATAAAAATACAAGTAAACATAATAATCAATAAACGGTGAAATAAATGAATCAAATGACGCGCGCTTGATGATCGCTGGGGTGAGAAAATTTTTCCTAGTGCAATTACAATTTAATTATTAAATAATGCAACGAAACTTCGATATCATGAGTTTACGTTTTAGGGCAATACGCTTAATAATATATGTACACTTGACCGAACCAGACGGCGCAAACACGGATAAAAAAGAAACAAAAAAAAAAAAAAAAAAAAAAAGTTAGAAAAAATTCAACAAAATACACAATTCGGTAAGTTAACGGGTATCTGGGATTCCAAAGACGGTAACAGCGACGGGGTGTCCAGGATATCGATAAAACGTGCGAGCGAGTCGCGCCTCAGTTCTGACTGGTACTGCGCGTAGCTCGGCTCTTAGACAAGCCCGCGCATGGTTTGGTCCTATCTGTGTATGTATCTGCCGGTGAACGAGAGCGCGAGCATCTCAACGGGCAAGGATCCCCGACGTTTGGCCAACAGCGGTACCGGCTCCTCCCTCTTGATAAAGTCGCGCTTGCCACGACTGCTGGGCCATATGGCCCCGTTATCGTTGCCATCTGCGCCGCTGGCAAACATTTCGGGGCCACCACTGCTCCGCCTGCGCAGCAATTTCTTGCTGCTCCTCGTGTTGCGAGACTTGCCGTTGCCTCCGGTGAAGCTAGATCGGCCGAAGAGGTCGCGCCTTAGCTCCGATATGTCGGCGGGCACCGAACCCCGACGTGCGTTCAGTATCGCTCCGGGCGTCGAGCCTAGAGCCACCTCAACACTCAGCCGCGAGAAGCCATTATTGTTGCTACCAGTATTGTTATTGTTATTATTGTTGTTGTTGCTGTTGTTGTTATTGTTGTAATTCTCGCGCTCGGCTGAAAAACGATAATTCGACAAGTGTCAGATCTTACCAGCGACGAGTCATTGAAAATGGATATAGGCGCGACTTGGTGATGGCTTACCTGCTAGCTGAACTAGATTGCCAAGTAGATTGCCAAGGGCCGTTTCGTGCGGCAGGCTAGAACGTCTCTTATTGTTTGACAACTTTTCGGTGCGAATGCTCAGCCCAACACGATTAACTCCTCCATCTGCGCAAACAAAAATACGTGTCGTATTTACGGGATTTCGCAAAATCAAGCAATGTACTAATTACGCGAGCGAGGGACTTTTTACGTGTGGTTAAAGGACAAAAAAAAAAAAAAAATGTGTGCACTCAATCGTAAAATTGTCAATGTATTAACTTGGATGAGCGGTTATGTCGGCAGGAACGGAGCCTCTCCTGGAGCAAGGATCGATGGCTTTCGTAGTCGACAAATCGTCCAGCTTGGCCATCAGTCCCACCGGCGCTGAGCCTCTTCTTCGCGCCAATCCCTGTACATATCGAAGAAATGGAAAATTTTCATCACTCTATTTGCCATCGAATATGTATAGACATTCTCACGCAACGCTGAGTTAAAAAAAAAAAAATCACAAAACCTGATTGCTGGAGCGTCGATTCGAAAGGACGTGCGAGCCTTTGGCCAAATCGTCGGCCACGCGAGGATCGACGTTCTCCTTCATGAGCTTGAGTATCTTGGAGCTCTTCTCGCGGCCCGTGTCGGAGTAGTCACGCTTATTTCCGGGCAGGCTGACGCTATCGACGCTCTTCCTGGGCTCGCCGGAAACGCTGCCACTGCCACTGTCGCTGGACGGCGTGGCGCTCGTGTGCCTCGGCGGCGAGTCGGGTGGACTACCGATGAAGAAGACCTTGTGGCTGTCGGACTTTTGGGCCTCCTGGGTCAGGGGGATTGTGGTGAAGCGACGACCCGTCCCGGGGGCCACGCTGCGGCTCTTGGTCTGTGCGGGCGTTGAGTGTCGCCGCAGCTCGGCTCCAAGGGTAGCGCAACCCTGACCCGTTGAGGTGGAACTCGAGCAACCTAGCCGTCCGGGTGGAGGATCGGGACTCGGGGCCGTGGGCGCAGGCGAGGTCGAGCGCGACGACGAACTGTCGGCCTCCAGCAGCACTTCCGGACAGCACTGCGACATCTCGGCCGTGGTCGACATGTAGCGCATACGCGAGAACGGCTGCACCGGAGGGAAGGTCTGCTGGCGCGTCAGCGTCCCCTGGCGCGCTGCCACCGGCTGCTGCTCGATTAGCTGCTGCTCCCTGAAAATGAGTGATGGAGAGCCGAGCGATTATCAATCATACTCCTCCATTACTTTTGATAATGCCATTTTTCACGAAGCTTGCGTCAATGGTTCTTCACCGAACAGCCCCTTTGATTTCTATATGCAACGCGTTTATAAATATTGTCAGTTCCTGCTCTTGACTTTCAGTCTACATGCCATATCGCATCGTTATGATGTACGCAGTTATCCGACGTTTGCAAAAGTTGCAAAGGGAAGCGCGTCTCATCAGCATTCAAAGGATTTTTCCCCAACAGCGAGAAACAATGAGGAAAATGAAAGAAAAAAAAAGGTGTATTTCACTCAAAGCGCAAAACCAGTTAGCTCGGGCATGAGTACTCGAGACACACTGTACAGCAGTCGGGGGAGCTTAAAGGAAAAATATGCAGATGCACAAACGAAGCGTTCGCGTGTCGAGGCTGCAGTTGAGCCGAGAAAACACGAGTACCTAGTCACGTAGGTACCTATAGTATAATAAAGTAGCCGCCGAGTCGGATGAATGTTTCAGAGGCTTTTTTTTACGCCGATTAGAATGCGAGCGTTGAAAACTAAATGAGGCGAGCTCGAGCAGGTTGTAACGTAAGTATAAGTAAGTACATAACGAGAACCAGGGAACAAGGGGAAAACAAAAAGACGGAGGATGACAAAAGTAGCGGGGCTTTGAAAAATTACCAATTCAGCTGCTGTTGTTGCTGGACGAGGCTGCTGAGCTTGGAGGCTTCGAGGCTGTTGGCTATGCTGGCGATGCTCGTGTCGGGCAGGAGATTCTCGGCGCTGACGGGACGCTCGGGAACTGCCAGCGACATCGACAAACTATTGAGCCCGGCTCCGCTAGGCGAGACATCCGAGCGCTGCAGGCTGCTTCGCGATGAAATCCTCGAGGGCACGAGGGACGCGGCTCCGGGCAAGCTCTCCCGCCTCCCGGTGGTCGGTCGGGGCGCCAGGGTCATGCTTCGAGAGACACCCAGGGGCACCGAATGCCGTCGGCCGTCGGAGTGCTGTGGTGGCGCCAATCCTACCGTCGCCGACAGCTCCAAACTAACCGAGTCGTCCTCCGTCGTGCACTCGGACGCGTCGTGCACTACCGTAACCTCGGCTTGAGGCTCGATCTGATGATGATGATGATGATGCTGTTGCTGCTCGGCTGCTATGACGGCGAGCTCCTCCTGTAGGAGGGTCTCCCAGTGGCACTCGTTTTCGTGCAGGTTTTTCATGAGCGTGTGACTGAAGGAGTCGTTGAGGAAACGATGCCACTCCTCGTACAGCGGCAGTACCACGAATTTAAAGAAGCCCACTTGAATCTTGGGTATGCTGGTGATGTGCCTGTCGCAGCTAGGGGTGATGGGTAGACTGAGCTGGCGCTCGTAGTCGCCCTGTCGGAAGAACTCCTCGCAGACCTTGTAGGCCCACTTGCGCGATATATCCCAGGGCCGGCAGGGGTTGGATATGTCGGCGCACTTGAGGGCTATCTGGAGGATGAAGTGACGGTGCTCGGGCCGTTGCATGTCGAGCTCCCGGTCGTCGAGGTAGCGCCTCAAGCGCGCAAGAAACTCCTGCTGGCGCGTTATGTCGGTCGCGAGGATCAGAGAGCTTATGTGCTGCTGGAGCTCGGGCTTGACGCTGTCGGGCAGCTGCTCGAGGACGCCGCTCTCCAGGAGGCAGCAGACCGCCGATCTCCAGTGGTGGTTCTCCAGCACGGATTTGTTCTGCAACGACAACAATGGCTCGATCGTTATCATCATCATCATCATCATCATCATTCGACTTTGTAATAGTATGAACGAGGGTTTGTGTGCGCGTGCGAAGTTTGCGCGACAGTTTGTCTTGACGTTTCTGGGACGTGCTGCTGCTGTACGGCCGGCGGGGCAGGAGTTATTAAGGAAATGCGCGATGTATGTGTCTCTCTTTCTCTACTGGCACTATCGCGAACCCCCGACCCGCCCCCTTTCCGCGCCTCGGTGTCCCACTTCGTGGTGCGGAACGAGTGTTCGAAATCGCGGCTTCACGCTGGCCTCTGTGCCAAGAAATGCCTGGTTTATTTTTTTTCCCCCCCTTTTTTTCTTTTTAATTTATTTATTTATTTATTCGCTTATGAGGTTGTATCAAAAGTATTTTTGGAAAATCCGAAAGTTTAATAAAATCAGTGGGCCGGGATCCCACGCACGCCAAGAATTTAAGTTTGGAAATAAATTGCATCGCGAGTCATGCGACGAGTCGTTTAATCGGAATTTCATTTGCGTTTTATCATTCTTTTGTATTTTCTCCAGATAAATTGTTTACAAAAATAATAAAAATACGGGATGCTTTGTGGAATAAAACATAAAAAAAATGTATTTTCGTCTCCTGGATTATTTTTGGATGCTTTGAAAGAAACAACCAGTACGCGATGATGATGATGATGATGGTTCATTCGATTTTTATCGAAAGCGAGATTCCCTGTCACCTTTTATCATCGATTTTTTTTTTTTTTTCAATATTCACACACACGTTACAGTATTCTCATGAGAACTATGAAAAATAAAGAGGCACGAGTGTTTCGTTTTTGCTCAACGACGTACACCTGATAAGAAATAAAAAAAAAAACAACTCACCCCATAGAGAGCAGCTAGATGATTCCTCGTGGCAACTAGGAACGGCTGGTTGACGCCAGGATGGTCGAGGTCGTGCGTCACGGCGGCTATCAGCGAAGCCATAATTTCCATGTAGCTCAGGTGTCTTCTTATCTGTAAATTCGCGGTATGAGGCACGAAATTTATGCGATGTGCAGCCAAACGCGTTAAACGAAACGATCCGAGGAGCTACATGGCTAGTGGTGCAGATTCGCGAGGGTGAGCCAAAAAAGAGAGAGAGAGAGAGAGAGGGGGGTGTTTATCATACTGTACCTGTTCCACTTGAAGAAAACAGTGCATCGCTTGCGTTACGTCCGCCGCGTGAATGCTGTTGTGATAAGGATTTGTACTGTGATAGCCCTCTTCGATAAGAGCTGGAATTTTACGAATTTTTGTACGATTGTAGTAAAAGGCGCGGGTATCCGTGTTTGTTTTTTACTTGCTTATTTATTTATTTTTTTTTTTTTTCAACAGTAATCACGCAACTTACTGAACAGTTTCCAGACTCGCACGACGTCCAAATTGAAGTGCTCGAGGAGTCCGTACCAGTGGAAGAGATGAACGCACACGACCGAAAGGGAACGACCTGTAAATTTACAAGAAACGCACACTTAATAAAATATCGTTTTCAATTTTATCGAATAAGAAAAAAAAAAAAAAAAAAAAAAAAAAAAAAAAAGAAAGAAACGCACACTGATCCCCGAGCAAATTGTTCATTATTGCAAACGCATTACACAAACCCGTGCGAATGGACGATAATATAATTTGGTTGTAACTTGTCTTTCGAGTTTATGATGCGCGGCTTCGACGTGGCGCGACACGCTTTATAAATAACCGTACCAATTATACCCGCGTAAAATCGCGAGTTAAAAATACACATGCGCGCGAGTAATCATGACCAGCAAAGAGTCGTTTTGACAAAATTCGTTAATTCGTTAACGGCGTCGCGTCCATTCGCTCCGTTCATTTTAAGCGGGAGGAGCCAAAGCAACGCGCATATAAACAAAAGAATTGACGTGGCTGGTGATGTTTTTCGCCCGCAACGAGCGATGGTGCAGGTGGAAATGAAAGGTCGCTCACCTCCGGTCGCATTCTCGAGTGTGAAGGCGTTGAAATTCCAATTGGCCACCCTCTGCAGGACGCACTGAAAGCCAAAAAAAAAAAAAAAAAAAGATGAAGAAATGATAAACGGAAAAAAAAACAGTGAGTCACCTCCAGTAACGGAGTATAACACAACGGATCGGGGAGGGTGTTGATTGGGGTTGTCGAACGTGCTAACCTGGACTTGGCCGTGGGAGACGTCATCGAGGAGTGCGGGATCCTGGTCGAGAGAGCGCGTGACCAGTCGCTTGCGCCTCCGCTTGTGCATTGTGAGGAAGCGGCCCGTGTGCTTCGACCTGGGCTGCTGCTGTTGCTGCTGGGGTTGGCTCGCGTCGAGCTTCGACAGAAGCAGCCGCTCGAGCTCGTCCAGCTTGCCGAGCGACTTTTTCCGGCTGCCGTTGGGCTGCAGCGCCAGGGCGTCCGGGTCCTTTGTCTCTTCTGCGCGAGGAAAGATGCACGCTTTATGCTCTCGATATTCATCATGATGGGAAATTTTTATTTTCCGCTAACAGTCACTATATATTATATTACCGGATATCCGTAGCATGAGAGCGGCGCTCTGCTCGCGGCTGCAGTCCACCATCGCCTCGGACGATTGCCTCTGCAACAGGAGATAATGACAAACCGCCTTGATTAGTATACTGAGCTTGAAATTTCTTTAATTTTTTTTTTTTTTTTTTTTTTTTTATCCNAAAATAGAATATTAATACAATAGAAAAAAAAAAAAAGAAAAGAAAAGTTACGTATACGTGCAGGAATTCACGGAACGCCGATAAAAATAGCAGTAATAATAACAGCGGACAGTTTTTAATCTGCTGCGGCCAGTATATCGGTATTCATATAAATATAATATATACAGGTAAAGTATAAAGTAGCGGCTCAATCCGATTTAATTAGCGTGGCTTTATTGGCTTGCCGGAAATGAAACTAATAAATCTCTTCCTGATTGGCTTGCAAGCGGCATCAGCAGCAGCGGCACACAATAAACAATAACAATCGGCAGAGCGAGTGACGGGCTGTGCTTGTATATAGTTCGATAAAACGTCACGAGAGCGTGTTATACAATAGCCGTTTTTCATGTGTACCTATATTTATGAACTTGTGCATAAACCAGTGGAACGAGTTGGGGGAAAAAAGATTTTACAGTATAGATCCGTATGAACGGATTTCGAGAGAGAGAGAGAAAAAAAAATAATGTCAATTGCGCGAGGGCGGGATTTATTATTGTATACGTTTCGCAGGCCAGGCACGTTCAATAGATCTCATCCCTCCTCCCCTTCGCGCCAACCTCGAGTAGTGATTGACCTGGTTTACAGGTCGCGTCCGCCAAGACGTCACATACACACTGCACCCGCGAGACGTCGTTTTATTCTCGTGAATTTTCTCGGATTATCGTTGCACCCCGTGAACCTTCTTCCCCCGCATCTTTACAATAAATCATTCTTTGTTTGCAATATTTAACCTTTATGTGCAAAGTCGCTAATTTTTTTTTACATCCCACGGTACGGTATACCCGCGTTGAATGACTTCTCATTTGGTTTTATTATATACAATTACGTCCGTGAATTATTCCTTGAAAAATCTTATACTCAGGACAAAGAAATTTTTATTTTTCACGTATCTTCAGAAATTTTTAAGGAAATTCCTGAATTTGCCGTAAAAATTTTGTGCTAATTAAAAAAATCTTTATTATTTCTTTATTTCTCAGAGATGATTTTTTTTGTGTTTACAAGATGTTTTTTCCATCTCTCTTTTATTTTTTTTTTTTTTTTTTTTTTTTTTCCACCAGCCGAATCGAGTGCTCGTGTTCAAACACCATTTGCGTTTGGCACTAATTGCTCGGTGTGGGTTTTTTGAACGGACGATCACATAGATCGGGGGCGGGAGGGAAAGGGAAATTAGTAGCTGCACGCAAGCTCGTGCGACCGAACCGTCAATTTTAATAAAAGTCTCCTCCTCTCACCGACAGATTCGTACCACTACACACTGGCGTGTCCCGAAAAACGTATCGCCAAGGTGATTAAGCGTATCGTACGAGCATATAAAAATACACAATGTTCATTTCCATTTGAATGTAAAGTACAAAAAATAAACGACACGATGGCCAACCTCACTTTTTGTAAGTAGGGCGTGTACGTGTGGTGACTTATCGCGGTTTTTCATTTAGAGCCTCGTTAGTATATGCCCCGAGATACGATCTGAAATACGTTTTCCTTCACCGACTCCTGCGAGTCGGGCTAACAAGCTCTGACGCGGGGCCGTCGGGGTTTTGGCGTTCACATGATGAGATCGAGTGATTCGGACCGAGCGGCGTCTGTCCAATGAGCTGTAGTTCGGGACGAACAGTACGGTGCCTGCGTTTTAGCTTCAAGAGGTCAACCTGCAAACGGGTCAAACTTTGCAATTTGTGTGGCTCATTTTGTACTCACGCGGGAAATAACTTTTGACGCTCTTGTCGTCCATCGGAGATTTTCGAGTAAGAATTAACTTTGTAACGAGCTAATCGTGGAGCTAACTTTGGTAACGAGCAATTTTTTACCGCCCACCTATACGAGACGTAGGACATTTTTCTACTGTCGAGGAAAAAAAAAAAAAAAAAAAGTCCACAAATTATTACACATACACAGCGCTACGAGAGATAAGAAAAATAGTTTTTGTTTGTTCTTTGTTCCGTTATTTTAATTGTATAGCTGCAACCATAAAAAATGACGATGATGAATAAACATGAAAACAAAAAATTTTTAATGAGAATCGATCGTGTTCGCATCACAAAGTGTGAACATGACGTATTATGATGGACGTTCCGCAATTGTTGAGGAGAAAAATCAAAAGCCCGTGCGAGCCAACTCGTGCTCGAGCTACAAGCGCCTAAACAGAGACTACTAAAACGATAATGACGATAAAGCCGATTGACGGACAAAGAAGCCAGTCCCAGTGCGTATATACCTGTAACGCACGAGTAGAGAGACAGTAGGGCGCCCGACTCTGCACGCGGGAGTTGAGTTATTTTCCACTTAGACAAATGCCGAGTGGAGTACACGTATAAATTATTAACGACGTGAAAGGAACGATTTGACTCGCGAAGAGCGGCGGTGCTTCTGCTGCTGGGCTGATGATTGGTGTACTGGCTATACTGACGGAGGGTAGCTTAATGTGCGTCGATTGCAAGCTGGCAAAAGGCACGCGGTTGTGCTTGCATTCAATTTGATGGCTCGTTACGTTTGCTCTTATTTTGCTTACGATCGACATTACGTAAAATTTTATAGATGCTGTTTTGATTTTACACTCGATGAACCAAACGATTATACTTGTGTTTTCTAGTCAAGCTTAGGTAAGGTGCTTTTGTACGAAAAACACCTTATTGTGAATTGATTAATTTGATTCTTGAGGATAAAAATAACAACGTAACAATGTACCATAAGTTGTTTTCTTTGGTAATTTTTGGCACTCCATGCGCTAGGCGAGGAAAAAAGCTTTAAACAATTTTAACTCAATGAAAACTACAAACGTTTTGAACGATTGATTGGGTTCATTCCTATACGATTAACAATACGCACCTTAGTGTGGAAAAAAAAAATAATGTTGTCCAAAACGTATACTAAATTTGAACAATTGAGTTCACCAGCTATATTTTAAGGCTATATTGTTGGGCGTTTTTTCATCTCTGCGGAACGACCTCAATTTCTCCCCTTTTTGTCTTCGGCGCAGCACGAAATCGATTTTTTCGTCGTATCCCGATACTTCCTCGTTCGCTCTTCGAATAATACGATTAAATGGATTTATCTGTCCCTTTCCGCCTCTTTCTCCCGGCAATAGATTGTAATCGCCTTTAAGCCGCTTGATTGACATCGTCCTGCCATACGTACAAACACTTCTCTCTTTTGCCATTTTCGTGTGCTATATGTATGTCTTTCTCGTTACGGACGACGTACAGTTAGAACAAAGTATTGCCTCGCGCTAAAAGCAGCCAAGAAAGAGAGTTCGAAGCACTCGGTCAACACAGAAAAAAAAAAAAACCCCCGGGGTCTAATTGACACTAAACGCCTCCACTATTCGTAAAGAAAACATCATGTGCACGTTTCGCTTCTTCCTATTTCCAAGGGGTTTAGCTCGAGACGCTGAGTAATAATAAAATTAAAAAATTATACAGATGTTAGGAACAAATTGCAAAATAAAAGTGCGACACGAGGTATATTGAATTTATTATACACGCTTGAGTGAATAGTGAAAAAAATACATGATGTACGAACTGATCGCGGGACACACGCTAAATTTGACTCGCGTGATTTGAGCAATAAAGTTTTTGTGTGTGTTTAGGGGATAATAAGCATACATCGATTGCTCGCCTTTCTCCCCCCCCTTGAGCATACGCTGTTGATACAAGTATACATTCACTCGATTTGCTATACAGAGTATATGATAACTGAATCAGTGAACAAGTACTTACTGATTAAAATAGTTAAAAATATAGATCGACGCGAATCGGTGAGAATGTAAATTTAACTGTTTATTTTGCGTTTACCGATAGCGTTTCGGTATATACAATAGAGCGAATATGGCAAAAATATGTTAATAATTTATACCAAAATCCACGTGCGTGAGTAATTATATATTAACTAGTGGATCATCTACAATATTTCCCTTTGACACGAGTTACCTTATTCCTCCCGAACAAAGCGAGCATCGCAGTCGCCGACGTTATTATTGTATCGCGTGGGTGATGGTAGAAACACTCATCGGCAAAGAATCCTGGTAGAGTTGATGGGGCGGGGGGAGGATATGCGTACATACCAGAAAACGTACGAAAAAATCATCATCACCCAAGAATGTCCATTTGAAACAATATTTTTCGAGACACGCGGATTCAAAGATCGTCCGAAAGGACCGAAAAAAGAAAAAAAGAAAAAAAACCACTACCCAACTCTGCTTGCAGCGAAACAGTACAAACACCCCCTTGGATTAAAAAATTGGAGCACTCGAATTCATTTGGCAAATCGATGATATTATCGTGCTGTTTTGTTGTTTGGTCGATAAAATGAAGACAATGCAGCCGCGAACAATAAAGAGCAACAACGGGCGCACCTCCCTGATGTATCGAGGTGGTGTATCCATAGGGTAGCCAACTATCAAGGTTGCAAATCGAAAAAGGGAAACAAACCGGGACACGCTCGTCCCGATGGCACCCCCTGCACTTGTAGGTATAGGGTGAAGCCATAGTGGGAGACAGAGGCAGAAAGCAGCCAAATAGAGCCGACGGTGGAGAAATAAGCGAGGAAGGGAGGCAGATAGATCGTTAGTAGACAACGAATCGAAGAGGGTGGCAGGCTCTTACCCTGAAAGTTCGATCGGGGGGGGGGGGAAGAAGGGAGGAGAGACTGCTATTGTGCTCGCCTCGGGGTGATGGCTGGGCTTGGAGATCTTGGACCCCTCTCTCTTTCTCTCGATGGGTGCCAAAGAGCTCTAGCCGTATAGTGCTCGTAGTTCGTCAGCCGCCGCCGTCGTCTCCTACTCCTCCTCCTAGCTGCCGAATCGAGAGCAAAGCACACGCTGGGCGTCGATATAGCACGTGTAGGCATGTGTGTGTGGCACTGCGCCCGGAGA